ACAGTGAATACTAAAATAAAAGTGTTTACATCAGTTTGAAACTTTGTTTGAATTACATTCAAAAGTTGTGTATAGTATGAACTTAAAACTCTTAAATGCTTCAGTTCCTCGAAAATCCAGCAAGTACCTGTCTACTAATTTCCTGAGAATACAAGCAGTTTGAAAATATCAGCATAAAGCTGGTGAGTTCATAAGCAGTAATTTGTAATGAAAAACTTGTTGATGAGCTAGCCGAAGAGTTTGTAAAGTTTCAAGAAAATCCGATATTTTCTTTAATGAAAATGTAGTGTTATCAGTTCTAAAATAAACCATGAATATCTGTATGCTTCCAAGAAAATCCGATATTTTCTTTAGTGAAAATGTAGCGTTATCGATTCGTATAAAACCCTGAATGTTCGTTACTGAAAATTGTAGTGGTATGCGAAAATACTAATTCATGTGACCAGCTAAAGCTAATCATGAAGTATAATTATTTCGTATGTAAAGCCATAGCATAATTGGTTCTGTTTGAAAACCCTGGCTTGGCCAGTATACGTAGTATGTTTTAGTTCTATTTAGCATAAATAAAACCATTGAAGAGTGTCAGATTGTAAACTAAAGGTGATTTATACATAATGTGAGTCGTATAACCATGCTTGATATGACTAGTGACCTTTCCAACGTTCTTCAGGCGTTGAGTGAAATGACATTTGTACATCCCAGGCGTGCTCGCCTAACTGTAGCTAGCAGTTCAGATGTGGGATTGTCAGTCCCGAATAGATCTATTCACAAATCTCACGCTCTCCCTCCAGGAGACTCTGGTTATATAGTGGTAGGATTTATCCATGTACACCTAAGGGTATAGTAGTGAAGTAGCGCCTCACAGCATCGTACAATCTAGTTTACATGTAGTGTAGTAGCGTTCTACCATAGTGAAAATCCGTATGTATACCGTACATAGTGATAATTACAGTTATGAATACCATGATAAAGTAGTGATGTAAACTGTAAACTGTTTCTGTCTTAGAGCATATGTTTAGTAGTGAAAGTTTCTGTACTTGTTATGTTTACAAAAATCCCAAACTATACCGATTATAGTTTGCATGTATAGTGAATAGCGTGTCCGGAAAACTATGCAAATTTTTAGTGAAAACGCCCGTTATGCTCAACACAGTACAAAAGGGATTTAAAGTATGAGTTTTGCATAAGTTTTATGTATATTCTTGAAAACATTTATGTTTAGCTTGTATTCCCCCCCTGAAAACATTAAAAATACGGAAAATGTAGGGGTATGAACTAACAGTTGTTGCGTGAAATCGTTGACTGAAATGAAGATCCTCGAGTTGTTGAACGTGACACTTAACGAAATCCTATTATCAAATAAATACATATATGTATCTAAATTAGCAATTTCGTTAGATAACGTGTTAGAGAAACACTTATATTCGGTTGAGGGATGTTACCAGGACTTGATCGAATCGAAGAAAATGAGTTTTCAGCCAAACGCACCACCAAAAAGATGTTTACGGCCGTGAACTATAGTTTACGGTCGTAAACTAGTGTTTACGGTTTCTGAAGGCTCAGCGAGTTTACGGCCATAAACTCAAGAACAGAGTTTACGGTCTTTGAAGCCTTGGACCGTAAACTCAAGAACAGAGTTTACGGTTTCTGAAGGCGGACCGTAAACTCAAGAACACTGGTGCTGGTTGCTGATTTCGAAGAGATGAGTGTTTCTAGACGTTCCAAAGTGACTCCAAACGTGGTTTCTCGATGATTTCCGAAGTTTGAAGGCGTTTTGAGTGTTTACGGTTAAGGTTCTTAGAGAGAGAAAGAGATAGTTTTTGGCCAGAAATGTTCTAATGAAGGTGGAGGTATCGTATTTATAGGGGTGTTGTGGGGGGGTCCACTCTTCACTGACCGTAAACAGGTTTACGGTCGTAAACGAGTTTACGGCCGTAAACACGTTTACGGTCGTAATCTCACTTAGACTAGAAATGTTTGATTTTTCGAGATAATCGGGTTTCCGTGCGATTTTTGGTTCCGACTTCGCAAATAATTTAATTAAATATAACTAGATTATTTTCTAAACCAAAAAGTTTGACGAAAAAGTTAACGAATTTGAAATTTTATTAACGGAAATCGCGTAATGGAATCGGACAAAGTTTCGGGTTGTCACAATATTGTTGGCTGTTATGTGATATATATGTGTTTTGTGATCGGGTTGAAATACACCCTAGGGCGGGACCCACTATGATATGCCGGGTTGAAATACATCCTAGGGCAGGGCCCACTATGGCATGTTCAGGGTGAAATATACCCAGGGCGGGGCCCATAATTGTTTATTGGGTTGAAATATACCCCAGGGCGGGGCCCAACTGTATGTTTGGTATGTGGTACTCTGGAGGAACTCACTAAGCCTTTTGCTTACAGTTGTGTTTATGGTTTCAGGTATTTCCGGTACTAAAGGGAAGGGCCCGACGTGATGACACAACAAATTCTCCTCATGTTTTCCGCACCTTTTTGGATATTAGTACTCTAATGATTTGACATTGTATCTTGTGAATGTTTTGGAACTATTTGATGTTTGAAGCTCTTCGTTTTAAAATGAAAAATTTTATCATCATTTTTGGGATGTTATAGTTTAAAGAAATATTCAACAATCAACCGAATCATGGCAAATCCAGTTTTTATGAAAGTTGATGGGATAATGGATCCATCAAAATTTTTGATCAATAAACCTTAATTAAGAACAAAAACCGTCAGTGTACCGTGTTTAGCATCAAACTTAAGTTCCTCACAAATACAGTTCTTCATACTTGAATCAGGAACCGCCTAGGCATAGTTCATTAATCGTGAAATTGAATAGGGAACCAACTAGGCATAATTCATTCTTAATGGTCTCAAATAAGGAAGTAGTAAGACAATATTCATACTAGATGGACTTAAACGAGGAACGAATAATCCCATGTTCTTACCGGATCGAGGAACCAATACGCCAATGCTCATTCTGGATTTGACTTGAATGGGGAACCACCCATGGCACATACTTCATTGTTGAAGGAAATTCCAACAATCATGATTCCATACATCATACATATACAAGATGAAGGGTGATATAAATGATAGTTTTCAATAAATGGTTGTTTGTATCGGGTATGGTGAAGATTGGTTAATCTATATCCATCAACAATTATTAGGTGTGTTATTGAGTTCATATGACGGATACACTAGAGTTTTGGTCGATGTAATGAAGTACTTAATTACTTCTTTTTTTTTTTTTAAATAGCGAGCAGACCGTAGGAACATTGGATGGTTATATTTGAGACAAGTATCTTGGTAGTCAAGCCAACAGGTTTGGTGTGATCCTTAACTTTTTAACCAATGGAGTTTCTATCATTTGTTTTCCTTTATGGAAAGGTCCTGATGAGTTCATACCATCATGTCCTTACAATTTCACATGTGTACACCAATCAGTATGTGATGATACAATTAGAAGGAAAGTACCCATCTCCTCCCATTTCAACATTATAGATATTTCACAAAACCCCGTTTAAGACAGGATGACAAACTATGTATATGTCACGTCTAAAATTCTAGAAGCAACTCAAACCTACTATTTTTTGTATAAATATAAATGATTAGTTTCTATTAATTTCTGTCAAATATTTTTTATATGTTATATATAAAATTAAGAAAAACTAAAGAATGGAGAGGATCGATTAGCTCCAAATATATTTCTTATAGTTATATTTATATCAATGTAATATAACAAATATAAGAAGTTTGAAAAAAAAAATATATATTATGAAATAGAAGAAAATAATAAGATTGAACAAAATATTTTGATAATAATAAAATTGATGAAAATGATTAGTTGGAAATAATAAAATTACTAGAAACGATTTGTTGAAAATAATATAACAATTACTATACGATAATGATGGAGGTTTTGGATTTTGCAGCTAGAAGGAGGAACTCTTCCAAGAAAAGGAAAATGTTAACTAGCATTTGTTATGGCGCGTTTTGGTGCATATGGAGAGCCCACAATGACAGAGTATTTAATAATATGAAGACCATTCCGGCGAAAGTGGCAGATATCATCAAATCTACGATATATTTATGGTTTAAACATAGGAGAAAAAAAAAATCAACGTCCTTTCCTATGCACCTGAGAGTGTTGTATGTTTTCTTGTCTCCTATTTGTAAATGGTTGTGCTATAAGTACCCCGTCCCTCCTTCACTCATATAAATGGTCACATTAAGGGGTGTATACACACTATTACATTCACATGGAGGGGGTATACAACATTAGGGGTACCTATAGAAATTCCTTTTGTAAAACTCTTGTTTGGCTTTGCCTAGTTCCTTGCTAGACAGGTCCTTTTTTCGCTAATAATATTTGCAGGTTAAAAAAATAATAAATAAATAAATAAAATACAGTTATTTGTTGATAAATATGGATGTTGGTCAGGTATATGTTTTAACCTTGTTTTAGATGATATCAGTTTAAATAGATGAAAATTTTGCCGTTGACTTATTTTTCATTCTTTTTAGATCCAGTTTCAATGACTTCTAGTTCTTCTCCTGTCGCTAATGGTAGCAGCTATGACGTTTTTCTAAGCTTTAGAGGCGAAGATACTCGTGATTCTTTTACCGATCATCTTTACAAAACATTAAAACAATCAGGAATTGATGCTTTTAGGGATAACGATGAAATCAACAGAGGTGAAGAACTGAAGCCGGAGATCCAGAGAGCTATCAAAGAATCTAGGGCTTCAATAGTTGTGTTGTCAGAGAACTATGCAACTTCCTCTTGGTGCCTGGACGAGCTTATGTTGATCCTCCAACAAAAAAGGGAGCACAATCATTTCGTTCTACCTGTTTTTTATCACGTTGATCCTTCTGATGTGAGGAAACAAAATAAAACTTTTGCAATTGAAGTCAAAGCCTCTTCAAAGTGGACAGATCACAACGTGAACCTGTGGAAGAAAGCTCTTAAGGAGGTAGCCGATTTGGCAGGCATGGTTCTGTCCGGGTATGCCATTGCTTCTCTTCTTGTAATTCAATAATTACTTAAATATATACAATTCAACTGATGCGACTTTGTCTAACAATTTGACAATTATAATTAATCTTAACATGGAGCAAAATTATGGTCTCTGCCTGTGGATTTTTTGTTGATAAATGTGTCAATAACTTTAGCATATTATTATTTCTTTGATTGAGAAGTTTGCAAAACACTGCGATGATTTCATTAGTTATGTCAATAAGTCAACAGCTGAAAGCTTCTTGATGCATAATATACAAGTTTGACTCATGACTGGAACCAAAGAGTTTCTTTTTTTCTCACTGGATAAAATTGCCCCCATTTATTTATGTTAAACCTAGAATTTTAATTCGAACTAATGGTATGGCATTATCAACTTTCCTACTCATTTTCTTTTTTTTTTATAATTGCAGATCTGAAACAGACTTTATCGCAAACGTGGTTGATGCAATTGATTGTAAACTAGATATGAAACTAGTAAGTACTCCAGCTCATCTAATTGGAATGGACACTCGAGCTATAGGTATCGATTCCTGGTTGAAAAATGAGCAATTTGGTCCTAATGTTTTAGCAATTTGTGGCATGGGAGGCATTGGCAAAATGACACTGGCCCAATTCATTTATAACTCAAACAAGCAAGATTTTGAAAGCAGCAGTTACCTTGAAGAGATTGGAAAGCACTCCAAACAGCCTTACGGTTTGCTTGGGCTACAAAAACAACTTCTCACAGACATTTTAGGCGGAAGGAATGCCAGGATATCTAGTGTTTCAGAGGGTACAAGGAAGGTCGAGGAAGCCTTACAAGTGAAAAGGGTGCTTATTGTTCTTGATGACATTGATGGACATGAGGAATTAGGTGCTTTACTTGGAACAAAGGCGTTCCACGCAAAAAAAGTAAGATCATAATAACTACGAGACTTCTAGATATACATGCATGGTTTGGGTCCATATCTTGGAGGTGCCAAGTTGAAAAACTTGAATTGTTGAATGATCATGAATCATTAGAGCTTTTAAGTTGCCATGCATTTGGATCCAAAATTCCCATGGAAGGTTTCAAGGAGCTCGCTGTTGAATTAACGAAGTATTGTGGTGGAAACCCACTAGCTCTTAAAGTACCGGGCTCTTCTCTATTTGTTGATGCTGAGGACCCAAGGAAACAAGGTAACATAATAGAGATTTGGGAAATTACATTGAATTCACTTTATCCATTGAAAGGTGATCTTGACTGTAAAATCCAAGGTATACTACAAAAGTGTTGAATGTGAAGCCACAGCTGGTCAAAAGGCAGAAAAACCAGGAGCCATGTTTTGAGTAGTGGCAGAAAACAAGGGAAATGTTTTGAGGCTTTTTTTCCCGGTTGTGTTTTTCTGATTTCCATCTCTATATAAGAGATTACTCTGTATTTTGTAAGATACATCCAACATCACAGAAGAAGATAAATAAAACATTCCTAGTTACCGGTGGACGTAGGTCAGAGAAGGACCGAACCACGTTAAATCTCTCGTGTTCATCATTGTGTTCTTGTTTCTCGTGAGCTGTGTGTGTGTGTTTAGAGTCGTGTGTTAAGTGTCTCGATCCTAACAAGTGGTATCAGAGCCTTGGTTTAGCTCCAAAGGGTGATTTTCTGTTTTTTGGGCGAATTTTTTTTTTCCAAAAACGAATTTGGTGTAGCCTATTGGAAAGGTCTCGTTCCGCAGATTCCGAAAATAATTTTTCTGAATTTTTTCGATCGCCGGAAGGCTCCTAAAATCACCGGTCAAAGTACTGTAGCTGACAGATTCACTATAGCAGTTAGCCGGAGAGACGACACTGTAGCACCAGACACTCTGTAGCAGCCCGCCGGAGAAGACGACACTGTAGCAGACACTATAGCACGACATCAGCGGTAACATCGACAGACACTGTAGCAGGTACTGTAGCACGACGTCAGCGGTGACATCAACAGGCACTGTAGCAGAGACACTGTAGCACGACGTAAGCGGTGACGTCAATAGGCACTGTAGCAACACTGTAGTAGATTTGAAAATTTGCAATTTGGCCCCTGAATTTCCAGAAAATTGCAAGATAGGTCATTGTTCTTTCAGAAAATGGCAGAAAGCAGTAAGCTTCAGATTGAGAAGTTTGATGGGAAAGATTTTGGTTGGTGGAAGATGCAAATTGAAGATTTGCTCGTGCAGAAAGACTTGGACGCAGTTTTAGGTGAAAAACCGGAGGCGATGACACAGACAAACTGGGAGACTTTGGATAAGAAGGTCAAGGCATTTATTAGACTGACGTTGTCAAAGGATGTTGCCTTCAACATTTTGAAGGAGACCTCGGCAAAGGGAATCATGGAGGCATTGTCTAATATGTACGAGAAGCCGTCGGCAGCAAATAAAGTCTTCCTGATTCGGGAACTAGTCAACACGAGGATGAGGGAAGGAAGTTCAGTTACAGTACACATCAACAATTTGAACTCGATTTTATCCAGACTTGGGTCAGTGGGAATAAAATTTGAGGACGAAGTTCAAGCTTTACTACTGTTATTATCATTACCTGACAGTTGGTCCGGAACAGTTACAGCCGTTACTAGTTCCTCAGGATCGAAAGAGCTCACTTTTGAGGGAATTCGGGATTTAATTCTAGGCGAAGAAGTCAGACGAAGAAATTCTGGGGAATCATCAAGTGAACAATTGAATGCGGTCAGAGGTAGAAGAAATAACAGAGGTAGTGGGAGCGGGAACAGGAGAATGAGTCAGACGAGGACTCGAAATGATGTGACTTGTTGGAACTGTAAAGAGGTTGGACATTTCAGGAATCAATGTCCAAAAGACAAGAAAGAAGTTAATGTTGCAGTAGACCATTCAGATGATGATGTTTTGATCTGTAGTGTGGAGAGCAATGTGGATTCCTGGGTTATGGATTCGGGTGCTTTATTTCACGCTACCCACATCCGTGAAGCACTGCGGAATCTGAAAGAAGGGGATTTTGGTAAGGTAAGACTGGCGAACGATGAGGTTCTTGATGTGACGAGCATAGGTGACTTAGATCTGAAGACTCCAGTCGATCCATGGACTTTGAAGGATGTCCGGGTAATTCCAAGTCTGAAGAAACAGTTGATTTCTGTTGGGCAGTTGGATGAACAGGGACACGAGGTTAAGTTCAGGAATGGGCAGTGGAAGGTTGTCAAAGGAACTCTTGTGATAGCTCGTGGACATAAGAGGGGTTCGTTATATATGGTCAGTTTACCGTCTGAGGGAGTAACCGTCCCAGTTCAGAAGAAAAACAAAATCCGGTTCATAAAGTCTCGTGGACAGAAGAAGGTTTGCTTTGCAGATGGCAAACCCAGAGTCACAGGTCAGATTCAGGTTGAACGTGTTTGGAACGGTTCACAAAAACCAGTCAAGGGTATTCATAGCAGTAGGAGCATGGGCTTGGTTTCAGCTAGAATACCCAGAACACAGTGGGTTAAGAGAACCAGTATTCCATCTGTAAAAGTCTCTCCAGATTATCTGCTTCACATGGAGAGTGTCGTTTGTTCTCAGGATGTTCCAGGATCGGGCAATTTATTTCAGTGGGAGCCGGTGGAGACAGAGAACAGGTCAGTAGCAGACTTACCCTTGACTAATGTGTTGGAGCTAACGAAAGCTTCAACTGGCCTTCAGGTTAATTGAAGAGAACGCCAGGGTAACTAGGAAGGAGTTAAGATCAAATTTTTTTTAAATACAGATGCACAGTTGAAGCACAGGTAAAGATTATTCCGTGGCTTCAAGTGGGAGATTGTTGAATGTGAAGCCACAGCTGGTCAAAAGGCAGAAAACCAGGAGCCATGTTTTGAGTAGTGGCAGAAAACAAGGGAAATGTTTTGAGGCTTTTTTCCCGGTTGTGTTTTTCTGATTTCCATCTCTATATAAGAGATTACTCTGTATTTTGTAAGATACCTCCAACATCACAGAAGAAGATAAATAAAACATTCCTAGTTACCGGTGGACGTAGGTCAGAGAAGGACCGAACCACGTTAAATCTCTCGTGTTCATCATTGTGTTCTTGTTTTTCGTGAGCTGTGTGTGTGTTTAGAGTCGTGTGTTAAGTGTCTCGATCCTAACAAAAAAAGCTTCTACTCCTTGCCACGAGCCAGTAACAAAGAGTTGTTTTTGCATATTGCTTTTTTCTTTGTTGGTGAATATGAGGATTATGTGGTAAAGATATTGGAGCATGACTGGCATGCAAAATCTGGGATCATGACTCTAATTAACAAATGCCTTCTTACCGTATCACCAAGTAACAAACTGATAATGCATCAACTGCTTCAAGAGATGGCAAGAAACATAGTCCTTCAAGAGTCCAAAGATCCTGCAAAACGTAGTAGAGTCTCGCAAAACTATGAATCTTATCGTTTGTTGGGAAAAGGACAGGTATGATGCTTTTTATGTGTATCTTTAAACTTACTTGCCCTATCACAACCTACCATGCTAAAAAGTGTCCTCTTATTTCATGTCTTTCCTTAATAGGGTTCAGATTCAATTGAAGGTCTAGCACTTGACATGCGAAAGCTCGAGGAAGGGATGAGATCAGATGTAAGCCAAAGAAGTGAATTAATGTGGTTTATTAATAAATCAAGAGAATAATTACAGTTATTATCGTGATACATAATTTTCATACATCACTCTGAGTAGGAAACTTATGAGTCCTAAAGATCTGATCTAGTCCTTACCAATTTGACCAACTTTCTAGTGAATAAATAAATGAAAATGAGAAACATGGAAATTCAAACAGGCTATTAGCTATTGCTTCAACTTGGAATGACATCTTCAATTAAGGTAGATGTCTTCCTAGTTCAACACTAAACAAGCAACTCTAAGCATTAGCTTCTCATGTTTAGAACTTGAACCTAATCACTATTTTTCTAACTCCCATGATGGTTGAGTGGTGTTAGATTTGTTGAATATGATCGGAAGATGAGCTGTATGACTGGTCGCTTCCCTTTGACATGCCATTGTGTGCAACTATAATCACTCTGCTGTTTTCAATAGTAACTATGCATGTAAAGTTGCTCTAGAATTTGGGTTGTATCCGGGTTGAATTCCATCCTATAATTCTTTGGGAAAAATGTGAATATACCCTTAAATGTATATAAGCTTAGGTACCCAAACACACCATAATATGTCGTTTTGTTTGATATATTCATTATAATGTTCTTAAACTTCAACCCCTAACTTGATTTACTTTCAAGATTTTCGAAATTTCACTATTATCTTCCTCTTACATTACATCTTTTTGCCGAACACCTACTAGTTAGTAGTAAATCGAAATTTCACTATTATATAAGAGGAAGATAAATGTGAAATTTATAAAAATCTTGGAAGTAAATCAAGTTAGAAGTTGAATTATAAGAACATTGGACGATTACATTGTATATATGATACAAAACGATGTAGTATGGTGAGTTTGCGTAAGTAAGCTTATAAAGAGGTGATGACTGTAACTTATGCAGTTATGCCCCTTATTTTGTAGTAGAATGCTAGTAAGTTAGGAAATTCACAAAGTATTGGACTTGTAATAAATCCTGCACAGGTATAAATCCATTACAAGTTTCAGTAAGTTGGAAGAATTCATGGTTCCTTAGTATTTAAGATATGTATTTAAAATTGTGATACTTTGGACAATTTTGTTGAATTTACCTTTAATTTTTACTGCTTTTAATTTCATATATGAGGTATACTAATTTATTCACTTAATGCTAAATTTGCAGCCATTATCCCTTAAAACTGGTTCGCTTGCAAAGATGGACAAACTAAAATTGCTCCAGCTCAAATTTGTAGCACTCTCAGGGTCCTATAAGATCAATTTTCCAGAACTAAGATGGTTGTGCTGGCATGGATGTCCTTTAGAAACAATACCCTCCGGCTTATTGATGAGCAGCTTGGTGGCTATAGATATGAGTTACGGAAATTTGAAAAGGTTTGAACCTCCCAAGGTAGGAATAATTCTATGTCCAGTTATCTTGGAAAATATTTGTGTAATGAACAATGATAAATTAATTAGGTTTTATTCTTGGAATAGGTTCTTAATTCACTGAAGATTCTAAATCTTAAAGAGTGTTACGAACTTGTCAGTATCCACAATCTTTCCCGACTTCCAAATCTTGAGAGTTTGATTCTCTGGAACTGTAGCAGTCTTACTCATGTTTGTGAATCCATCGGAGGCCTTAAGAGTCTTGCTCTATTGGACTTTACAGGGTGCAAGTATCTTATGAAGACTTTAAAGAGGTACTTAAATCATGCGCAACAGTTTCCAGGTGTATGCACTGATGCAGGAATTCAACAATCTCCGTTTTTCTTACCAGACTCGCTAAAGTTGTTGTTTCTCAATAACTGCAACCTTGAAAAAAACCAATAATGTTCCAGTGGTTTCTAGTGACCAATCATTATTTTACATGAATTTAGGAAATAATCTATTTGAGGTCCTGCCCAATAGCCTTAATCTTAAAACTCTTCGGGTACTGGAATTGACTTTTTGTCCAATTCTCAAGTCCCTCCTATGTCTCCCAAGTACGCTAAGAGCTGTATATGAATTGGTGTTTTTCACTGGAGAAAATAACATTTGAATCAACCCGGTTCAGATTACGGGAATTTGTATATCGAGGTTGTAACAAAGTGTCTGAAATTCAAGGCCTTTTCAAATTGGTGCCAATAGCAAAACATGATGAAGCCGATTTGGGTCATATGAAATGGATCAAAGCATATCAAGATTACAGGGTGTACCTAGTGGGTGATGAGATTACTAAAGAGAGAGACCTGCGTATCCAGGTACCTCTCTCTCTCTCTCTCTCTCTCTCTCTCAAAATCATTAATAAGCACACAAAAGCACATCTATTCCGAGAAATTGGTTAGCATATGATTAAGTAGATATTTGTTCAATTTGTGTGGGCAGGTGTTGTATGAATATGGTATAATGAGCACATATCTGCCAGGCATAAGGGATGAAAGCATGCCAATGCCTGATTATATGTCATTGATTCCGTTCTTATCCTTTCGTGTGCCTTCTACTGAAAAACATAGGATCCGAGGATTAAATGTAACCTGCTTATACAGACTATCAGGCGAGGATGAAGATATGTGGGTTTTGTTCATCAAAATAAGTAATATAACCAATGGCCTTAATTGGATGTACAACCCGATGGTCTATTGCCAACCGAGATTTTATGAAGATGCGGTGTGGTTAAGCTATTGGCCAATTGGAAACATATTAGACACTGGTGATGAAATCAATGTGTCCATTGTGGGGAATGGATTGATGGTAAGCGAGTGTAGTGCCAGCTTTGTTTACATAGATGATGGTGAATTAGAGCTAGAAAACTGCAAAAGTTACACGAAAGAGGAAGAAGTTATTGGAGGAGATCTATCTGGCTTTGAGCTGACCATAGGAGCCTATTATCTTTGTCGTCGCGATTACTTCAAGATAACCACCCCTGATTGGTTAAAGGTGCTACTTGGTGATACCATTCACTACAAGAAATATACCCTTTACCGGCGACACTATTACCGGCGACAAGGGGCTTTAGCGACGACTCTATATATTGTCGCCGCTAAAGCCCTTTGTCGCCAGTAATAGTGTCGCCGGTAAAGGGTTGGCACCCGGATCCGCGCTTTCCTCCTCTGTTACATCTGAACCGTTCGATGAGATATCTAATCCAACGGGTGGGGTGTCTTATCCTATCTACCTAATACCGGCGACATATTTGTCGCCGCTAAAGAGTTAAAAAAGTCGCCGCTAATAGTTAACGAAAAAACACACGGTATCCTTCCCTCCAGTTTGTCGCCGCTATTGCTAAAAGTCGCTGGTAAAGCTCTACCTGTCGCCGGTAAAGCTCTACCTGTCGCCGCTAAAGAAGTCATTACCGGCGACACTTTTACCGGCAGAAGTCATTACCGGCGACTAGGTTATTAACGGCGACAATACTCATTAGCGATTAGCGGCGACAGAGTCAATAGCGGCGACTTTTATCATTAGCGGCGACAAACTGATCAATAGCGACCAAGCAGTAGCGGCGACTTAGTACCGGCGATGCGTCGCCGCTATTAGTATTACCGGCGACTCTTGGGACTTTTACCGGCGACTTTTGTCGCCGGTAATAGCCTTTTTCCTTGTAGTGATTCCCTCTACAGGTACGATCCTCTTTTTGCTGATGGTTTTAGTCTACAAATAATGATAGGATCCTTACATCACACACTGTCATATATAGAGTTACGAGGATGGAGAAAATCTCGTCAGACACTGTTCTTAAAAGCATCATTTATGGAGCTCGAAACTTTCAGACCCTACGCTATTCCCGGATTGAATGTATGTATATTTATTCTTTATCCATTCTTTTTGGCAAGAATTACCATTAGTTGTCTGCGAATTTGAATCAATTTGTTGCTTAAATCCATCAACCTAACCCATTTCATAGAAATGAACATTTGAGGTATCCATGCTACTGTGGAGGTTTTTGTTTATTATTAGAATAACTAGTAATTTCTTCCCTGGGCCATTCCTTAATGTGTAGTTTCGGTCCGTTGATTTTTTTGAATGGTTGGTCCAAAATTACCACTCTCTCCATATTTGGTCGATAAAACCAACACGATCAGCTTATGACCATTGATCAGTCCATTTTCTGTGTCAATGGCTTGTTTTAAGTGTATTTTGGTACATTTGACTTCTCCCTCCTCCATTCATCTTTATCTTCAACCTTACTTCTAGATTTTTGCACCTCTTCCTCACTATGAAATCAATAGAAATCTCTTTAGTTTGCTTGTGGACGTAGCACGACTACCCTGATTGTGTGAACCATGTAAATTCCTGCGTGTTCTATATTTTCTTCGCATCATATATTGTGTGGAAATGAAACCGGTTACAGTCTTCATAGTCCATAATCAAATTTGTTGGATGAATTTGGGACCAGATTCAGGGCACTAGCTATCATCCACCATTTTGCGAGCTAATTTTTGCCGCTGTTTGAGGGTTTTATTTGTCTTTTCTTTGCTGGGCTCCCTCCTTTTCTTTTCTCACATTCCATTAGTAGTTCCTTTAAAGTTTCTATTTTTCTGCAACTGTGCTTTGTCTTCATTTGATTAAAGATTGTTAGGAGAAATCAGATGATGGTGACCTTTTTTACAGCATTGATTTGCTCCGAGCAACCTACACATTTGTGATATCCCTTTTTTTTGTGTGCTTTCTTCGTAGAAGGGTACTTCTAACTTAGTGGTAGTCCAAAAAGGACTTGGCTACCGTAATAGTGTCATGGTCAAGTTCAACATGTGCCTAATCTTCTAATTTTTCCTTAAAGTATAACAAGGTGTTTCAATTTGATAGCTTATCAACCTCGAGTATAATATGAGTGTTGCTACAGTATTGCTTTGAATTCTTCGCTTATGTCGATCACTCGTATGCCTTTTGGATTGTCATCATCCTTCTTTCATTGCCGATCTTAGTAGCATCATATTATAGGTAAATCATATATATATATATATATATATATATATATATATATTATATATATATATATATTATATATATATATATATATATATATATATATAGAACGATTCACTTGAAATGTTCCATAAACACCATAAATGCTCCATAAACACCATATCTATGTATGAAAATACACCAAGCACAACCATATCTGACTACATCTAAGCAGGGGCGGCTCAACCAGTTTAGAGGCTCTAAGCGAACCAAAATTTTGGGGCCCTTTGTCATTACTATACTTAATGTTATAAATTAAACCCTCATCCTTTCCAAAATCCAACTTGACACAACGAATATTAAAAAAAAAATATTAAGTCATATTAACCCTAATAGATAGTCTAATCGAAAAAAAAAAGAATGACTATTCTATAATCTACATAAAAGTTTAAAAAACAGATTTTCTCATTTTGAGTAGAAAATAAAAAAAACAGATTTCTACATGACTACATCAAACAAAATTGCATCAAAATAACAAAATTTATCGATTATCATAGTAATAGATTATCAAATTATCACAAATTCACAATCATAGATAATTAGCAATGAAGAATGGACCGAGTTATGGTGAAATAGAGAATCAGAGGAAGAACCGAAGAAGAACAATAGAACATACCTTTTCAACCTTTCAAGTTTCAGGATTCAGGAAAGCAATCACCAAATCGGTTGAATTAATCTTGACACTTGACATCCTTTTCAAAAAAAAAAAAAAAAAAAGAATCAATCAACTTATCAAAAATCTTCAGAAAGAAGATTAGAAGAAGAATAGAAAATCAAAGAAGTAATGGTTTTCGGTTATGGGTAGAATCAAGAATGAAATCACTAATAAGTTAATTAGATTCAGAGGACAAAGAAAGAAGAGTGAAGAACAATTGCCGAGTCGCCGTTTCTGCCGAATGGTTTCTGCTGATGTGCGTGAATGAAGAATCCAAATAAACAATCCCCTAATTTAATTTTGGGTTAAGGGGCCCCTTAGCATTGGGGACCCTAAGTAAGGGATTATTTTTTTGTACAGTAAGGCCGGCCCTGCATCTGAGAAATTGGTACGTCTTTGGCTTTAAATCTAAGAGGTTGATGGCATTTGGTGGCTTTTCAGACGATCTGAGGCGATGAAGCTTGTTAGAAAACAAAAGACTTTATGAAATCGCATCTAAATGTCAGATCTGATCAAATCTATGTGGATCTGGTATGATGCGATCATCAATGATGGAGAAAAACTACATGAGAAATAGAAGAAGGGAAGGAGGAGATTCAAATCAGATCCGGTGGTGGAACCACCGTCGACCAGGGCCGACTCTACCCTTTGCAAAACTAAGCAAGGGCTTACGGCCCCCAATTCCAGAGGGCCTCCACTTTTAATGTGTATTCTGTTATATATGTATATATATGTATTTCTTGGATTACAAAGACAATCTGAAGTTTGCTGGGGCGGTAAAAGCATTGGTTTATAAAACTAAAGGTCTCAAGTTCAAAACTATTTGCTTACTTGAACGGCCCCCATTTTTTATTTGCTTAGAGCCCCTAAATTGGGTGAGCCACCCTATCGTCGACTACCATGAACTACATAATAACCACCGGATCTACACCTCAACACCTATAATACATCAAACACATCTGGTGATGTGTAAGTTGGAGACTAGATAGAAAGAGATGGAGATGACCCGGAAGAGTTTCATCGGAGCTGCAAGACATTAATGATGGTGGTGGTTAAATGTAATGGTGGTGTTCATCAGTGTTAGAACTCAAACACATCAGATCTGATACAGATCTATGGCTTTTCATCGGAGATCATCCAAAAAGAGACGGAAGCAAGTTCGTTGTGTTCATCGGTGCTCCGACATTAGATCTGATACGAGGAGGTGATGCTGCTTGTCATCGTTATAGAGCAGAATCTAGAGGTGTAGGAGGTGGCGGCGGTCGGAAAATCACAGATGTGGAAGGTCTAGTGCAACATCGATATGAAAATCGAATATCTGAAGTTGAAAAATCGCGGATCTGGAGACCGCAGGAAAATCACATATCTGGAGGCTGCCGGAAAAATATAATGTTGGATGTCTAGAGTGGCGGAGGTGGTGGTAGAACAACAACAGTGGAGAGAGGTGAAGGCGCTCTTCCAATAGTGGTTCTCTGATAGCGGCGGTGATGCCGGAAACGATGGTGCCAGAGACGATTGTGTCAGCGTCAGTAGGTGGTGGTGGTAATAGGGAATGTGTGTTCTTCAAAAATGGTGGGGGAGTTTGAAAGGATTTATAATTTGAAAACATAGATCTGATTTTAAAATGAAGCTTTTGTACGTTTTTGTATTGTTTATGTTAAATAGACAAAAATACCTTTAATGAAATGGTTATGTGGTTCTTAACTTTTAGTGGTTCTCATTTGAACTTATATATATATATATATATATTATATATATATATATATATATATATATATATATATATATATATATATATATAGGGTTCAATAAAAATCAAATAAACGAGGTTTTAAAGAACGAGATGGAGAATATGTATTATCATCTAGACTCTTAATGAATATGTATTCATATCAATTAATTTCTCATATCAATTAATTGGTAGAATAGAGACTCATACAAATTAATCATGTGTTACGAACCAATTTGGACCGGTGACACGAGGACTTTCAGTCCTCTGCTCTACCAACTGAGCTATCCCAACTATTCCTCGTGTCTTATACTCATTTTCATTTTACTAGGGAACTTAGGTGTATGTCAATTGAAAGGGTATTACAAACCCTCATCACGGAGCTATATTTTGTTAAAGGAACAACTTTGTAAATTTCAGTATGAATAAAAATATCGATCGTGAATCAGTCAAATGGGGATTCCTTGCTCAAAGATGTTGATTTGTGCATGTATCATATATATCACATGTGATTTTACGCTCATTGTATAAAGAGTAGTGAATGTGAAAGATAAGGAGTTTTGAACCCCTAACGAAAAAAGGATAAAGAAAAAAAGGATACGATAAAGAATTAGGGAGCCAAATGGTCTTTTTGGGGATAGAGGGACATGAACCCTCACGATTTTTGATATCAACAGATTTTCCTCTTACTATAAATTTCATTGTTGCCGGTAT